GAGTCAAGTCAACTAATCCTGAGGTTGGACTGTTTCTGAAGTTCTCAGATGTTGATTCCCCTTCTCAGTTTCAATAAACTCCATTGTTTTGTATAAGCTGGTGTAGACTCCTAGGATCTGAAGGAGGGGCCACCTGCCAGCCAGGGAAGGGTTGACAGGCCTCACATAGTGACAGCAGAGAATAAATAATAAACAAGAATAGACAGTCCAAATTTAATACATGTATACCCTAACATTTAGGGCAGTAATTCAGCATGGAAATAATTGGATGGCATTAGCACCTTGCTACTAGATCTTACTGTTTGAAACTTACATATACAACATTTATTTTTGTGTTTGTTAAGGTTGTTAAATGTGTATTCATTCTAATAAGAGCCATACTGTTTGGATCCTCATTTTAAGTAATATTTATAATTATAAGATGCTATGTATGGACTGATACAATGTGCTTTTATCATTTCAACTGCTACCGCTAATTGCTACTTCCTTAGCACATTGTAGGATGCATAGCATTTCACATGTGTTATTAGCCAGATTGGGGACAGAGGAATTCTGGGAGTTGTACTTAAAACAGAATATAATAAAAATTGCAATCTCTAATTGCAGTAATCATTGGAGGAATTTGTTGAAATAAGGTTTGGATCCTCATTTTAAGTAATATTTATAATTATAAGATGCTATGTATGGACTGATACAATGTGCTTTTATCATTGCAACTGCTACTGCTAATTGGTACTTCCTTAGCACATTGTAGGATGCATAGCATTTCACATGTGTTATTAGCCAGATTGGGGACAGAGGAATTCTGGGAGTTGTACTTAAAACAGAATAATTGCAGGAATCATTGGAGGAATTTGTTCAAATAAACCTGCCTTTATATCTATACTGCAGAGGGAAAAGAAGGGCTGAGAAATGGTGACATAAAGAATTTCTGGGTCTTGGAAATGAAACTTTGGGTGTGAGTTTGTGGCTGTGCATATATGTGTAAACTGATTGTGTTTACATCTGACATTAGGCAAGCAAAAAAAGGAAGCTCATACAATTAATATTTCCCATTTCCTTCATCTTTGTGTCGCTCCCCGTGTCTCATGAAAAGTACTTCTAGAATGTGGGCAAGGGATGTGTAGGTGACTGTAAACTGAGGCTTACGAAGAAGGGCTGAGAAATGGTGACATAAAGATTTTATGGGTCTTGGAAATGAAACTTTGGGTGTGGGTTTGTGGCTGTGTAAGCTGATTGTGTTTACATCTGACATTAGACAAGCAAAAAAGGAAGCTCATGCAATTAATATTTCCCATTTCCTTCACCTTCGTGTCGCTCCCCGTGTCTCATGAAAAGCACTTCTAGAATGTGGGTGAGGGATGTGTAGGTGACTGTAAACTGGGGCTTACAGGGCTGCAGTATGGGCAGGGAAGTTGCCAAAATGAACTGGAAAAATGTTGCAATGTTAATGCAGATTTCCTGGTATTGGTGTCCCCTTCTTCTCCAGGAGCCTGGTAAGGCATGGCTCACATAAGATTCTGTGCCCCCCCACTTCACCCCTGGGAATGTTTTTGGGATCACAGAGAATGGGATGGTGCAAAGTTGTCTTCTACTGAAGGGGCAGCTGGATTTCACCCACTTAACGGTGTGTCTAGACAGAGAAGGTATCCTAGGCTGGATTGAAATAAACACAGTCTCTTAAAAATGAGGTCTGACATTTAGAATAATTCTTGCATCCACAAGAATGCAAGAATCTTGACACCTTACCTCAAAGTGACCCTATTCAGCCCCTTCCTCTGCTCCCTCTGTGGGGAGCAGGAAAAAGCTGGATTTTTCCCCCCAGTTTATTGATAAATAGCATGTCACTTTCTTGGCTTGCTGTCCAACTGGTATAGTGCTGGCTTGGAAAGAGAAAGAAAAGACCCTCTCTGTCTCCCCTTCCATTGGGAATAGGGAAAGCTGGATTCCCCCCCCCCCTCCATTTATATTGGGAAGTAACGTATGGCTTTATTGGCATACCACTCAAGTGGCACAGCACTGAATTGTTGGGGGGAAAGTCCTACCAATGCCTGTTTGGTTCAGTATTGGGGATCACATGCTCTGGCAATCTTAACTAAGACAGGGCAATATCCCGTTATATTGGGAAGTAACATATGACTTATTGGCATACCACTCAAGTGGCATAGCACTGAAATGTTGGGGGGAAAGTGCTACCAATGTCTGTTTGGTTCAGTATTGGGGATCACATGCTCTGGCAATCAAACTAAGACAGGGCAATCCCACCTGTAGCATCTACCAATGATCCAAAAAAGTACAAATAGCCACGGAAGAGGGTCAGGCTGGTTCGCAATTACCAGTATGTTGTGTAGTGGTTGGAAAATAGATTGAGGCTTGATTGTGCTGAAAGCAGTCCAAACGTGAGTTAAAGCCTACTCCCATTGTACTTGAAATAAGTTGAACTTTAAGTGACTGCTAACATATTTACTATGAAATATTACTGAACTACAAAGTAGTGTTGCTACAAGAATTTGGTTAGTATTGCTAAGTGCAGAAATCCTAAATATTGCCCAAACTTTATTTGTATTAAATTATTGTACTGGTGATTGTGATTAAGATATCTTTAATCATATGGGATTGCATTAAAATAGTGTTTATGGCATATTTCTTGGGCTTGGTTTCAACCAGAGCATGGAAAAGTTGTTTTGTGAGTTACAGCTCCCCAAATGCCCACAGTGGGGACAAATGATGTGGGACCACCAAGTCTCTTCTCTCTTCCTCTGCATTTATGACCTGGTTCCACTAAACTACAGTGAACTGGCCTCTTTGAAACGCAGAAAACATACTTTTCACATCACTTTACTGCCCTGGATCTCAGACCTGCTATTTCAGTGCTAAAGAGGCAAGGGAGGGAGCACAAGATCTCATTGCCTGGAGTAGAGACTTTCTCACACTTAAAAATGGAGGGCAGGGTGACAGAGATGAAACTACATAAAGGCTACAATCTGACATATTCTTGGAGGAAGAACCGTTGAGCTTATTGCCACTTGTTTCTAAGTAAATGAGTACAAGATCAAGCAGTGCTATGGTTTGCATCCACCTTACTCTGTAGATTGGTTCCATTTATTTCAGTAAGATTTGTGTGGATGGCAGACTCATCTATAGCTTCTGTGAACCTGGAAGTCCTCTATTACTAGTAAATACAAATACTCGTGCACGCTTGGGCACCTCTTCCTGCCTTGTTAGCAAAAAGGAAAGGGAGCAACGGCTCCCCTTCCTTTTTTGCTAAACTCCGTTCCTTTTCAAAAGGCGAGGAAAAGCAGCAGTCACTTTGACAGTCTCTTTCCTTGCCATTTGCCAAGGCATGGGGCTTAGCAAAAAGGGAGCCCTTTGATCCCTGCTTTTTCTAATTTGGGGTTAGAAAAAAGGGTCTTATACTGGATCGTCTTATACATGGAAAAATATGGTAAATACCAGTGGGAAATGTGCATCTTCTAAAATCTTTTCTTTCCCAAGAGTGGTGAATAGTATAGAACAGCAGGAGGGAGAACTTACTCTATCATGCCTCTCTTTTTATGCTTAGCTTGTATACTCACTTTGTGTTTACTTCGCATATTTAACCAGCCACGTGACTCTCTCCTTCTGTTTGTTTGCAGGTTGTCCTGCTGGGCTTGGACATTTTATCTGCACTGGTGTCCCGGCTCCAAGATAGATTTAGAGCTCAAATTGGCACAGGTAAGGTCACGGAGATGAAAAGTGAGCCAGAAAAGGCTGCAGTATTGGATTGTGTGCTTGGTGACCACACTGCAAGTACTATTTTGAGACTTAAGTAGAAATGGAACGACATGCAGGCCTGCCTTCAACTGCTGTTCTGAAGCTTGCCACAGCAGTAAGAAAGGGATGGTTTGCTACAGCAGCAGTTGTGCTGGGCTGGGTTCTGATTGTCTGTGGGTAGGGTAAACTGTAAAGCAGGGCTGAGCAAGGTCTGGGGCTCCCAGGACCGTATTTTGAGGCTCTGACACCCTTTGTCAGCTGCCCCAGCCCCTTCAAGTGGTATCTGATTAAAGAGACTGTAAAGTCACGTCCAGTTTTGAGGAGGAGGCTCACTTCCGACTAGGAAAAAATAAACATAATTTATTTCTTTCCTAAAGCAGGGTATACATCAGTGGACAAGGTTTAATTAAGAGGAAAATTATTACCCTGGAGGAACAAAGCTTTGTTTTAGGGTGGAATTTGGTTTTTTTAACTGATTGGTGGGCTAAGAGAACCTCAAAAACTGCTCACGGGGCCACATGTGGCTCATGGAGCCATTGATTCTCATCCCTGCGGTAAAATGGGAGCAAGCAGTCCCCTACTTGAACTCCAGTTTACTCTTTGTCTATTCTGTCACTGACATGTGAAATGTGCCTTGGAAATACCACATTCATCCGTTGGGTGATTCTTTTTAATGATGACTACACAGTGTAGATGAATGCATCTTCGGCTGGATCTTTTCCCCTTTGTTATGCAGTAAAAATAAAGCAAATAAGGCCTGCTCCCCCCTCCCTTCGTGGGGGGGCATGAGCATCGTTCAAAGGAGACACATGGCAAAAGATGCTGTGGGTGCATCCATTTTTGACTCACCTCTGGTCTCTGGCAGACAGAAACCAGAACCTGTGCTAGAAATCCTAATTAGTGTTCCTGTTTTCAGGTTTGTTCTCACGGCCAAAGGAGAAACAAGTTTTCTTCTTTTCTTTTTAAACGAAAACTGGGATCCCCCAGTTCTGAATTCTGCACTTTTGGTGCCTTCCAGATTATGTTTAAACACACTTGTCACATGTGATGGTCTGTTCACATGTGAACTGGATCAGCCCGATGTGGCAAATGTAGCTGGCCATCTTGGAAAGCTTGCATGCAAAGCTGTGTTGCTTGTTCTTCTTCCCTTCTCTTTGCAGAATTTATGTACCTTTTGGTGGGAAGAAAAAGCCTCTAAGTGGTGTAGATTAAAATAGCTGTGTAATACAAAGATGAAATAATTCAGTACAACACTCCAAATCCTATGGGTGTTTCCTTGTTTGCGTATCTTGCTGTGGCTGTTGTAACTATTTGACAAGATGCTAGGGCACATCTGAGTTATATGCCTGGTGCGTGCTTGATTATGTAACTGAGATGAACTGCAGCACCTCCTCAATTAGTCACAGTTGTGACAAATTATGTAAATATCAAAAGAATTCTGGCTTGTGATGTTAGTAGCATGGCAGCCTTATGCTTATCCTGTGGTCCAAGGCAGAAATCCATTCATTCCCTACTTGTAGCTTATTACACCCACAGCATGCAGGTAAGTTTGAAACTTGTGGGTGGTATCTGTTTATACATTTAGCTCTAGCTTCCCATATCCTTTCCTCTAATCAACTTTTGTTTTTGTCCCCAGTGCTGCCTAGTTTAATTGACAGGCTGGGAGATTCAAAAGACTCTGTGCGAGAGCAGGATCAGGCACTGCTGCTAAAAATCATGGAGCAAGCTGCTAGTCCTCAGGTAGGTTTTTGGACAGCTGCAACGTACAAGCAGTTGGCTTCTAGGCCGGGAAGAACTTTCTTGGGAGGGGATTTTTGGTTCACAGTCATTTCGTCAATTCTGTTTTTACTAGGCTGGGAACTACCTTTCTAGAAAAGTCAGACTTTTGCAGACTATGTTGCAGCGATGTGATAGCAATACCGTTTTTCACAGTCCTAACTAGGCAGTGAGGTAGAATAGCAGCTTGAAAAACATCAGTGAACATTCATTTTATGAATGGACAGGGCTTGAAAAATGCACTCGTCCACTTGTCTGTGACGAGTGAAAAAACACTGCTTGATGAGCCACAGCTGCTCCTTCCCTGCTTCCTTGCCCTCTGACTCTCCCTCTGTCTCAATGATCCTGCAGTTCTCCCCTCCCCCCTTCCATTGCAAAAGGAAAACAGCCCTCTTCTTGCGAGAAGAGAGTTTGAGTGGCACATAGAGATATAGCTTTGCAGGAGAATGTAGAGTACTCCAGTGCTGGAGAATATGGAGATTCCCTGCTCCCAATTTCAACCCAATGAGGACACATCCTGGGGTGGGAGGGAACTGTGGCTCCTTATGAGGCCGGGCTCTTTTCCTTTCAGTTTTATTTTTGTTGGAGACATTCAAAAGAAAGGCATTCAAAATACAAACTTCATGACCCTACAGACATGCAGGTAATAAAGCAACCCCAGTCTGAGGACATATTTATTTTGGGTTTGTACACATTGTTACATGGAAATAAAAGTGAACAAGAGCCTAGTTTAAATTTGTTAACATAAATTGCAAGGCTGTAGTCCGGTCATGCTGATTGGTGAAATCTTTGACTGACTAGTGAGACATTCTAAAATTTTTCAAGTCCTGTGAATGGATGTTATATAATTACAGTAAATCTAAAGCTGTTGTATTGGAATTAGAATCAAATGCCTTTATCTCTGGACAGAGGTAGGGAATATACCCAATAAAGTAAGAGACTACAGTATTATGATTTGATAGAACAAAATGCCAGTGATCCTGAGCTGTACTGCTTCAGACTGAATTTTAGGGATCCCATTTGTGAATATTCCCTATGTGAATGTAAATCACCTGCGTATAGAAAACTAATATGTATATTGGTGATGTTGGTATAGTGTTTTTCCCCTCAGTGATGCCGTCATTCATGCAGGAATGGGATGAGATAGGCTTACAGCTCATGCTTTAGTGACTATAAAATAGATGATCATTTTAAATTTGTCCCAAAATAAGGATAATCAGATAAAGTGATAGAAACTCTGGAGTCCCTATTGTCTGTGATGCCAGTATTTAATATTAAGAGTTGCTCATGAAATTACTGTGGAAACCCTCTTCAGGTATTACACATCACATATGTGCAGTATGTACAATATGAGGCCACATAGTAGCAAGGGATGAGGTAAAGCTACTAGCTCTGTATCTAACACCATCCAATCCATCTAACGCCAACTCGGGCATTTGTTTCTCAGCACAGATCTCTGAAGAGATAATTCAGATTTCTTCTCCTGACTCCTATGGAGTCAGTTGTTTCTCCCAGGACAAAGGCATGACAATCACTTAGTGAGTTGCTTGTTGCCTTTTGTGAAATTATGCGGTCTCTCTTTTGGGTGGGAGTAGAAGCACTTAGAAAGATGCCAATGGTCATATCAGAAAAGCTGGACATTAAATAGTAGTTAGAAACAAATTCAGAGTACTACCTAGTGAGTGGAAGGAGTCAGTATGGTGCAGTGATGGTAGATCTCTTTGTCTGGGTTGTAAATCCTGCACTGGATGTGTGTTGAAGACATAGTCATCTGCTCTGCATATTTGCTGAGTGTTTGGATTTTGGGGATTATGCTGCATAATTGAAGGGCAGTTTTGCAATACTTTCTACTCTTGCTCCAATTACGTGTGATGGGGGCTGTCATCTGTTGCACACACCCCTTTGCCTGAAGGCAGCATTGGCATTGAGAATTTAACTGGCACACTACTATTGAATTGCTGCTAATTGTTCTAAAAGGGAGATCCTTCAGAAGATTGTGCCTCATTTTTTAATCTGTAGGATATAAGGATGTGACATTAAATCACACATAGACCGCTTCCAGAGGCTGAGGTCTACCTTTTGCTTTCTGGGACCTTAGAGACCACATTTACCTTCTGATGCCTTCCAGTACTTTCAAGAATCCCTGTGATTATGTGTGTGTGTGTGGGGGGTTACATATGGGCCATAGGCTTCATTTTGCCCACCCCTACATTCAGATCAGCCTGAACTCACTGTGTGCAAAAATCAGACAAATGAAAAATCTGCCAAAAATCCTTGAAGTTGTGGAGCACTTTTAGACTATTGCACAATAGCAATGGTCTAAATTTAAGGTCTAAAATGTAATAGTGATTTACAGCCAATGATCCACTGAGATAAAGTCTGTCCCAGGTGGTAAAATGAAGATTTCTTGCTGACTGTAAATGACCTGTCTATCTGACAGTTCTGTAAGACTGTACCCACTACACTTTTATTTAAAATGGTTAAAGTCCTATTTCATCATTATATGGGCAGGAGGTGAATGGCTTAACTTGCAGCAGCTAATTCCTGCTAATTAACAAATCCCTGCTTGGATTCTTGTCTGGGTGCCAAGGCATACGATGGTGCACCCAGAAGAAGCCAAGTGGGGACTCATTAATTTACAGCAAATAGCTGCAACGAGTTGCAGCATTTCCTTTTGGCCAGTGAAACTATGGAACAGGATTTTATCCATTTTTTTTAAACCAGCAGACCGAGTGAGTTCTCTTTGTGTTGGATCTATCTGTCCTCCTGTGGATGGATGTTGAATCAGTAGCCACTGACCCATATAAGGTGATACAAGAGAACAGGCCCAGAACACTACAGTACTGGCTTATCCAAGAAAACTGACCTCTGTATTAGGGAGGTTATTTTAATAACTGATTATTCCCACTCTTACCTGTACCTGCATGCACTTGTGTGTGCACGTGCGCCTATGTTCATGGGATGTATGCCCCCCATCTCTTCACCTTTTGTTGTAGATTATTACAGATTTTTTTAAAAAAATGCAAAATTGCATCTTGTATTTTCTTCTCTTTCTGTGACAGTATGTATGGGACAGGATTTTGGGAGGATTCAAACACAAGAATTTCCGGACAAGAGAAGGAATTTGCCTCTGCCTTATTGCAACACTCAATGCGTAAGTTGGGGCTTCTGGTACATTCTGATACCTTCATACAGATGTTAAAAAAATTAACACTCCTCATACATTTCATTCTTGTTCCCTCTATTTATCTTCTTTTTTCCTTGTCTATTTTAGATCTGGAGCTCAGAGTTTAACACTGAGCAAAATTGTGCCACATATATGTAATTTACTTGGAGATCCAAACAGCCAGGTAAGTTGTTGGTGATAAGTATTTCCTTCTTTTGGAGTGGGATGACTGTGGTGACATACAGAGACAGAGAGGCATGTGTCTTTTATTTAATTTTGAAGACAAAGACCTTTCTCTTCAGGCTGGCTTTTGTTGACTGAACAGGCTGCTGTTTTTAATGGGGTGTGTGTGTTGCACCATTTGTCTTCTTCTTTTGATGTGCTTTTAAATAGTAGAAAATTGCCTCCCATCAGTAGTTTTCATATATGTTTAACTGAGTTTTGATAGTATAGCTGCATACCATGGCTTTTTACTCTATGAAATGTTTTTCTACCATTTCATAAGCAGCTTTGGGTCCCTGTATGGAGAGAAAAGGGGGACATTACATAAGTTGCATATGTTCCCTCCTCTGTCATCTTTCCTTTTGCACTGAATTGATTATACTGTAGTCCTGTTGGTAGAAACTACTATGTTATGTTTTAATCTTGATGTAATGATTAACAGTTACAGTGGTGCCTCGCTAGATGATGATAATCCGTTCCACTGAAATCGCTGTTTAGCAAAATCATTGCCTAGTGAAAAGCATTTCCATATTGGAATGCATTGAAACCTGTTTAATGTGTTCAAATGGGGAAGAATCATTGCTGTCTAGCGAAGGTTGGCCATAGGAAAGCCGCTTTGCGAACCACCGATCAGCTGTTTAAATAGTTGTCTTGCAAAGCTTAGGTCCCGAAAACACCCGTTTTGCAAGCGTGGAGGGAGCTGTCAAAAATGTTGTCTAGCGAAAATTGGTTTGCAAATCAGGGACCAAACATTGTCCGGCGAAATTCCCCCATAGGAATCACCGTTTTGCAAATCTCTATAGCGATCACAAAAAGTCTATGTCTAGCGAAAAAACTGTCATGCGGGGTAACTGTCTAGCGAGTCACCACTGTACTTTGTAAATGAGAAAGCACACACTCCCACATAGGCAAATAACTGACTTGTTTCTCTGCTCTGCTGGGATTGACTGACCAATAAGTACCTCCCAAAGAACATGAGTTTTCTTGCTTTTTGTGCTTGGATCCCACATTATACCCGTAGACCAGTGTCATTTTCCTAGAAGTACTACCTTCATGATGCTTCCAAAAATTAAGATTTCATTCAGATCTATATATATTTTAGAAATAAACCATTTGTCTGAAATTAAATGATTGTTTCAATAATTGAATACATAGTCATTTCTTTTAACAGAGATTATAATTGTCATTTGCCAAACTAGGTAGATACAATATTTTATCAGATCATAATTCACCTTGCATTAACTGCCAGATTTACCACAGGGATGTAACATCAAAGACACAAGAGAATATATCATGAATCAGTTTTGCCTTGTGTTGGTTGAAGCAGTTAAAGTGGAAAGTATTGATTTTAAAGGGGTTTATCTTTTATGGTTTGCTCTCTATAAAAATGCCCCTTTGTCATATATTAAGTCATCTAATATTAAAAATATAGATATTTAATGTGTTCCTGATCTGTGGCAAATGATGTTAAATAGTATTTTTTTCTCAGCATTGCTCTCATTCTCTCCTGTCTTGATAGCACCTATAGGACTATAAAGTGGCCAGTGGTAAAGGATTATTGGAGTGGTAGTCCAAAATATCTGGAGAGCCAGAGGTTCCTCATCCCTGCTATAGAGCATGTTGGAAATGGTGACTACCATTGTTTACTTACCTCACTATCCTGATATAGAGGCTGGGCTTGGAAGCGATCCTTAAGGAATAGCCAAAGCCTTAGCCATTCACAATAAGATTTTTAGCTTGTCTTACCCAGTGATGGACCTACATTTTTAGGGCCCTGAAGCTTGACCTGTTGAGGGGGCCCCTTCACAACAGTAATGAGATCTGAGTAAAGACTGTTATCTTCCTCAATGGTGTTGTTCCATGACAGATCACCACCATTTTTTAAAAAAATGTTGACTTAATTGCTTCTGGCATTAGCAACCCTGAAGCTTAAACACCATTAGTTTCATAGCTGATCTGCCCATGAAATGGCCATGCTATATCACAAACTGCTTTGGAAAATCTGTTTCGTTTTCAAAACGTTTGCCATGTGTTCATGTTCAAGATTCTGAAGTGTTAATGAGGAAGTTCTTTGGCCTCTGAGTGTAATATTTCTCAAAACATCATTTTGCCTTTTGTGTTGCTATATTTTTAAAGAGAAAACTGTACTATGGTGTCACACAATCAAGCATATAATAAAGACAGCTGTGCTGGTTCATGAGATGACCTCTCCCCAGTTAGGCTATACTTTCATTGGGACCAACCAAAATACCACAAAAATATGCAAGTTTTCAAGTTCTCTAGAATTCTTCATCAGGTGAGGTGGTATAGAAAGAACAGGTTGGAGAAAGAGATATCAGTATTGAAGATTTAGGTATTATGGCAATGGGATATTTACTTCAGACTCAGGCTCAAAATGGAAATTGGCAGGATGGGCAAATTGCTAATAGGTGCTGACACACATTATTCTACACGTAATCGTGCATTTTGTGATAAGGAAGAAGGGGCTGATTTCCATGCCAGAGAATATAGAGGCCTGCTGATTGTTGTGGGCAAAGCATATAGGTTTCTAAATCTAGCCAGCTGCGGAATTCTTTCTCCATCAAGTGTGGCATGCTTGTAATAAAGCCTGTTTTAAATATTTTTTAAAATCTATCGAAAGAGATTTAAAAAAAAGAATTAGAAACATGCTAATGTAATATTCTGTTGTACCACAGAAACATGGGCAGCTTATATACAGGTGATTAAAAGTGACAGCTATTATACATACCTCAGGATCCAGAATAGCATGTCTCTCTGTTTCCTGTGCATGCAACACCCCACATGGACAGGGCCAGTGCCAGGCTTTTTTGCGCCCTAGGCAAGACTAACTACTTGCGCCCCCCAACCAACTTTCAAAAACAGACAAATTGTAGGAAAAATATAAAGTACAAAAGTTGAACTTGTGAAAATTTTATTTAAAAAAAACTGAGAGAACAAGTAATAGAGCAGTCTTCAATTTCTTTCTTAAATACAAAACAGTTTAGCACACAAATCATTTTGAATAATCCTATGAACTCTAATGTCTCTTAAATGTTTCTATTTTTGCCATATCAAAATCTTATTTTGCGTGCCTTTTCTTTTGCAAATTTTGTCACTGATTCTTTCAGGTCAACGGCTGATGCTTTGGCGTGTTCAGTTGATATAGTTGCCAAACCAACTAGTCTACTTTGCCATGTTGTTGAGCGTTAATATGTTTTTATAAGCTTAAGCTTTGAGAAACTGTGTTCACCACTATCCACTGACACTGGAAGTGTGGGAAGGATCCTTAGAGCCACAGAAACATTAGGCACACTGTTCACCACTAGCCACTGACACTGGAAGTGTGAGAAGGATCCTTAGAGCCACAGAAACATTAGGCACACTATCCAGGAGTTTTTGTTGCACTATGAAGAGAAGTATTCCTTGTGGTGGCATAGACTTTGGAAGTCTTCAAGCTATTGCTATAAGTTCACAGCACAGATCTTCAGCATCAATATCTTTTTTTCCATTGTGTACCAATGATTTTTCGAGATTCTTGCAGGCCTTAAGTACATCTTCAGTTCATTTTTGTTTATATTGTAGATGTCATACAGGAAGCCAAACAAGGAATTATGTTGTTGTAGCTGTTGGAATCTCCCTTCAACAGATTGCATAGCCATGTCTAAGATATCATAATAGAAACTTATTTTGAACTTCTGCTTAGGATCTTGTGGTGCCTCCTCTTGTCCTTCTTACTCAAACTGCTTTTTTGTTCTCCTTTTTCTAATTTGTTCTGTCTCCAAGTTTGGTAGTATTTCTAGAGCCTTTGTAATCTCAGTAACATCCATCTAAACTTGTTGAAAACTGGCATCGCACCTATAGCCCACAAGGTAATTCTTAGTTACTTGCAATTGGCTTGTAGCTGAATTTAAATCAATTTCCTTATTTTGTAATGGCTTGCTTGTAAGATTAATTTCAAAAAAGAATGTTGTACCATGTAACAAGGGAGGCCACAAATTTGAACTTACAAATTGCATCAGCAACGTCCTTGGCTTCAATTCGCGAAGTATTTCCAGATAAATTCTTTAGGCTTGTGTCATCAAAGATCTCTATTAAAGCATCATATATACTACCAAGATGATATCTGATATTTAAAGCATCGATCCGACTCTCCCATCTTGTTTGACTCAGTGGCTTAACAGTTGTGCCTGATACATGGCTAGTTAGAATTTGTCAACGCTGAGTCGATGCAGAGAAATAATTATAGGTCTGTTGAATGAAACTGAAGAAACTTGTTGCTTCCAGACAACATTTAGCAGCATCATTGACTACCAAGTTTAAAGAGTGTGCATTGCAGGGCACAAAAAGGCACGTGGATTTATGTCTACTTGCAGGATTCTTTTTTGTATGCCATTTTCTTTGCTTTTCATGTTATTTCCATTATCATAACCTTGATAATGACCTCAATTGGTAATCCCATTTGCTCAATCTGTCCAAGAAGAATTTCTGTCATAAAGGCACCTGTAGTGTCTTTTAGTGGAACAGATCCCAAGAAATTTTATTTTATCATAACCTCAGGTTTGAACATTTCAGTATCTGATGGTCTGATCACATTGACAAAACGTATAATCATTGTCGTTTGTTTAGTATGACTAACATCAGGTGTGCAATCCAGAATAACTGAATAGTATTTGACTGAGTTTATATCTGCTAAAATATTCTGCTTTATAGCACCTACTAGAAATTGTATAAGTTCATTTTGGATATCTTTTCCTAAGTAGTCTCTGCACAAATGTTCATTCATGATAGGATCAAAAAGGGCTAAATATTCTATAAACTTCAAAAAATTTCCATTGTTAGCACTGTACAACATTTCAGTAGTACCACGGAATTCCAGGTTTTGCATGCCAGGAAGTCTAACCAAAGCAATCAAGCGTTCCAAGATTTGTTGCCAGTATTGTTGCTTTTGCTGATCCAGTTAGCAGGATCAGTGTAATCCAAGCTGGGCACATTATCTTCTTTTTCAGTCATTGCAGTACTCTCGCTTTCCTTGAAATCCTCTTTTTCTTCTATATGTTTTACTGAAAGGCCTAACAAATTGTAAAAGTTCATTCTTAGAGTTTATATCACTTGTAGAAGGAGCACCGTGCACAGCTTCCTCTGTGGTAATTTCAACAAGGATATCGCCATGTTCTTGTTCTCTGACTGCTTTCTGTGTGCAAAGGTATTTCTGGAAGAACCCCATCTTTCTTTACTTGCTCCTTGGCTCATTTTGCCTTTTGTTTGCAAAACAAGGGTACGCAGTACTGGCAACTCTGAAAGTGCTCATCTTGTAGAAGGAGCACCGTGCACAGCTTCCTCTGTGGTAATTTCAACAAGGATATCGCCATGTTCTTGTTCTCTGACTGCTTTCTGTGTGCAAAGGTATTTCTGGAAGAACCCCATCTTTCTTTACTTGCTCCTTGGCTCATTTTGCCTTTTGTTTGCAAAACAAGGGTACGCAGTACTGGCAACTCTGAATGTGCTCATTTATTTGTTTTTACTTACCCGGTGGTTTTTTGCTTACTTCCATTGATGATATATGCAAATGAGTTATGCTAATGAGAGTACCAGCAGACCTTTTTCTATGAAATGACCCCTGGGTTGCAGTATATAGAAAAATGTATAAGACTTTATAAATAATTATAGTCTATAGCGCTGTCGTGGTTTCTATCTTAAAATTTCAAAATATAAATTTTCAGTTGCATTTTTTCCAAGAAACTAGTCTGTATAAAACTGTGCCTCTCTCAGGTCAGTTCTGCGCTCATCCTAGGTCAGTTCTGCAACCCTCAGGTCAGTTCTGCGACCCTCCGAGGTCAGTTTTGCACCCCTCTCAGATCTGCACTCTAGGCGGTCACATAGTGGTAGCTCCGGCCCTGCACAGGGATGTCCTAAGGTGAGAACAACACTGCAGCACTGTATGAAGAGACCTATTGTCTTTTTATCTTTAGAAAAGATACTTGGAAAAGTTACTGCAACATCCTCAGTCTTCCTACGGTTGACTGGGAGATTCTGGGAAAATGTAGACCATGAAAGTAGGTTTTCCAGATTCTGACCAGAGCTTCCTTTCTAGTGTATGCTGGGTAAGCTGATTTGTGGCTTGATAGGTAGAAGTTTTCCCCCATCAAACCTGAGCTCTCTACCTTGCCTTCAGAGGCTGGTAGAATGCTGAAGGCCAGTGGTAGGAGTCTGCATTCCAGAACTTTTCCAGTGGGCAGTTGTGCTTGTGGATAGTGACAGTTGAAAAGGAATGGGGTGAGTTAATCAGGGGGAGAGTGCATAAAATCACCCTTCAACTTTGATATTTAGCCTCAATGTTCGCTTTCTTCCTTTAGAAGAAGGGCGAGGATCCATTTTAAGCCTTAGGGTCCAAATTCAGTTTTAGAGAAATTTTATGGGGCTGGCATTCCAGTGGTGGGTGGGGCAAAATGCAAAATGGACAGACCCCCAATGTCACCATATTATAAGCCTGAAGCTTTTACTGCCAGTAACTAAGCTTGTTTAGAAGAAGGATTTCAACTGTTGGGGTATGTGTGTGATAGAAAAGTGAGGGAGCTGTCAAGCTCTATGGTATGGTGAAGACCGGGAGCATACCTAGGAAGGGGATCCCAAAGCACTGGATTTAGTACTACGGCTTGAGGTTCCTTGTCCTTTCTCTAGAAATTTGAAGAAAACTTTTTAACAAGATCTTTTCTCTATAATCTTTCAACACAGTGCTGCTGTTGCCGTGGAGACAAGGAAAGACTTGTTGGGCCAAGAGGGTCGAAGGGGGACAGTATAATATAATGGGTTTGCGATGGGATTACTAGAAGAGGCCTCATGAGGAAAATTTAGGAAATGGATAAAGATTGGGAAACTAAGAGGAATAGAGGATAGATTAGAAAGGGTGTCAAAAAAGGAAATAGAAGGAAGGATACGTCTAGAAATGCACTTGTAATGTCTGGACACTTCATTGTGCCATCTTTGGGTGCTTTTTGGATTTACTTAAATATTACTAGTTACTACAACAGGATGTCTATACATTTTCAAGTTACATTGAGCTCTTGTTAGTTATTTTTCTAAAACAAATTAATTATAGAAAGGAGTATAATATATATTTCAGGACCAAGATTCAAGCCTCTTAATAGATGCTTAATTTGAGAATTGGTATGTATCAAGGGAAAAAAATCAATGATTATTGGAAAAGAAATGATTTAAATTATAATCTTTTTAACCTCTATTGCTAAAGTCCTTTTTGGCTTTTTAAAAATATAAGCCTTATATCATAATAGTTAAAATGTATTACAATTTAAATATCTCATTAAGGAAAAGAGATTATAAATTCTAATTCTAAATTATGTGACAGTGGTGACAAGCCTCTTGCATAGCTAAGCAAATGGCTGACTTTTGGAAGTTAAGAAACCACTTTAGACGTTATCAGGTGCATTCTGAGTTACACAATGCTGTACGTTATTGATGTTTACAGTTGTTTCTTAACTTGGGGCTATTTGCCTCCAAAAGTTAACTGTTCATGCTATGCCGGCATAATTTAGATAAGAGGATTTTAACCATTATATTCATTTTTATACACAAAAAGGTCTATATATCCAGCAGCCCTTGGATTGGAGATCACCTTCTTGCACTTCCATAGGTTTATGTATCAATTATTTAGATTGATTTTTCTGCCTTTTCAGTCACTCAGTATAGAAGATACCTCTAGAAAATTTTGCAGTTCTCAAGCTGGGTTTCTCTGTTCAGAGATATATGCTTGATTACAGCAAAATAGCTGTTTAGTCATTAAGTCGTGTCCAACTGTTCGTGGCCCCATGGACCAGAACACACTGGCCCTCCTGTCTTCCACTGCCTCCCGGAGTTTGGTCAAATTCATATTGGTAGCTTTAATGATACTATCTAACCATCTCATCCTCTGTTGTCATTAACCTTAAGGGCACCATATTGTCCAAAATCCACTTCTTCAAGGGTGACATCAACATTGGTGATGAGAGCAACATCTGCATTGGTTTCTACAAAACAGAAAGAAACTCATTGACTTAGATCTAACTTCTGAAAAAAAATCAAAGCAAAAAAACAAGCCCTGTGGTTTTGACCAATAGCTGTGCATAATTTCTGTGGAAGTCAGACATGCCTGAACCCTGTACTTATTCATTCATGGTATATACGTGATGATGTGGCAGAAGCAGGTTAGTCACATGAAATTGAGGATCGGCTCCTCTACCTTCAATGCTTTGGAAGAGGATATGTCAGCAGATGTAGTTTGTATGACAGGTTAGTTGTACCTGGCAAAACGTGTGCTTCCATTCAGTTGTTAAAAGTTCAGGAGATATATCTGTCATTTCATGTGGCCAGCGTAGCAGACTGGCTCTTCTCCTTGCAATAGGCAGTCCCAGGGATGTTGGTAAGTCTGTCTGAGTCCGAAATCTGAGTCCAAGTCTTTGGTACCAAGTCACAAATCTCTGTTGCCGAAATCTGAGTCCAAGTCTTTGGTGCCAAGTCCCAAATCTCTGTTAAAAACAAGCCTTTTTCCTCCAGAAAAACAGGGAGGAGTGAGTGGGTTCCAAGTCATGAGTTGACTCTGAGTCACTGAAAAAAAAAGTCAAGTCACTGGAGCGACCTAAGTCCGACTTGACAGTAGGTCCCATAATTCAGGTCCCCATCCCTGGGCAGTTTTAAGTCCAAGTCTTTGGTGCCAAGTCCCAAATCTCTGTTAAAAACAAGCCTTTTTCCTCCAGAAAAACAGGGAGGAGTGAGTGGGTTCCAAGTCATGAGTTGACTCTGAGTCACTGAAAAAAAAAGTCAAGTCACTGGAGCGACCTAAGTCCGACTTGACAGTAGGTCCCATAATTCAGGTCCCCATCCCTGGGCAGTTTTATTTAATTTTTCAAATTTCTCCATCTAGGTGGAGCCAGTTTGAGTCATGTCTCTTCTTCCGGACACTCAGCAAAGAAAGTTACATTCCACAAAGAGATTTCCACTTGCTTTCCTCCCTCCCTCCCTTAATATTCTTTTGTATACAAATGTATGTAGACATTATTATTTGATCAAAACTAATTCCTGGAATGAATAAAGATTTCTTAGCACAGGTGACAGTCGCTGGTGATTTTCAAGTGTATGGGTGTAAAAGTCATACTCATAATTTCATCAGATAGTTTGTTTACATTTCTTTTGGTGGGCCAAAACAATAACAACAACATTGTAGACAGCCATGCCAGCCTGTTAAACAACATAGGCTAGACTTTGGGGTCAGCAGTAACAAAGGTAGCTATTAGAGCAGTATTACTTGTTTTCTTTAAGGTATGTGTATACCCTGTTTCCCAAAAAATAAGCCCTAACCCTAAAATAAGCCCTAGTATGATTTTTTCAGGATGCTCATAATATAGACCCTATCCCCCAAATAAGCCCCAGTTAAGTGAAACCCTGCCCTCCACCATTGTGCAGCAACCAGAAGATGACATGACTGTATTAGAATAAATGTAGATTATTGTATATGAAAGAAATAAAACATCTTCTGAAAATGAGCCTTGATGTGTTTTTTGGAGCATAAATTAATATAAGACCCTGTCTTATTTTCAGAAAAACACGGTATGTAATTTTTTTTAACGTTTTGTTTCTCTTCACTCACTAGGTTCGTGATGCAGCAATAAATAGTTTAGTAGAAATCTACAGACATGTGGGTGAGCGTGTAAGGGCCGATCTCAGCAAAAAAGGATTGCCACAGTCTCGGTGAGTAAAGAATTTATTTCTCTGCTCTCCCATTCTCTCTTGTCACCTCTCCCCTCTTACACAGTATATTTATTTGTTTTTCAAATCCACTTCTTTTCTCTCTTTCTGTATACTGCTGAAATCAGAGAATCTTAAGGACTTTCCACAATGCTTCTCATCTGCTGAGTCCAGACCTTGGAAGTAATCAATAACAAATAACCATATGTAATTATTTAATTCCTTCTCCCCAAAATAAAGTTCTGTTAAATCATGATTGTAACTCAGTGAGCTAAGTTACATCGCGTCACTCTTTTTGCCCTGTAGTATAACTTTCATTTACTTTCATAGTTACAGGTATGGCCTCACTAAATGGTAGGTAACTATTTTAGTGACTTCCATAGAATCATAGAATAATTGAAAGTTGAAAGAGGCCTATAAGGCCATTTAGTCCAACCCCCTGCTCAGTGCAAATTAAAGGATATCTGCCAGGTAGTTGTCTGAATTTCTCTTGAATGCCTCAAGTGTTGAAGAACCCATTGGAGCAGTATAGTTCTATTGCCATACTGCTCTAATAATTAGGAGTTTTTTTTTTATATGCAGCCAAAATCTGGCTTCCTGTAACTTGAGCCATTTGAAGGAACTGGAAAGTAGCTACTAACTTTAGGAGGAGTTTGGAACAGTAACTGACACTAATTATTTTTAAGGAAATGACTTTCCAGACTGGTTCTAATCAATGAGACACTAAGGGATTGGGCCTTTAGCAGTGGCACATTCTTTGTACCCTGTTTCCCTGAAAATAAGGCAGGATCTTATATTAATTTTTGCCCCCCAAAATGCATTAGGGCTAATTTTCAGGGGTACAACAATCTACAGTTATTCAGATACGGTCATGTCATCTTCTTCTGGTTGCTGCACAATGCTGCACAATGGTGGAGAGCAGGGTTTCATTTAACTAGGGCTTATTTTTGGAATACGGCTTATATTACGAGCATCCTGAAAAATCACATCAGGGCTTATCTTCAGGTTAGGTCTTATTTTCAGGGAAACACGGTATATGTTTTGTTATAAATGCTTGCTAGCCCAGTGTTCTTTTCCACAGTCTATGTTAGTCATTCCCAACCTTCAGTAACCTAGGTGTTCCCAGAAACCCCAGCCAGCACAGTTGGTGATTGAATTGCAATCCAAGAATACCTGGTTTGTCCAAAGTTGGGAACCACTGGTCTAGGCCACTGCAGATAACAAATGAGACTTGGATGCAATGACATCCTTCTACACATGTTGCCCAATAACTGCTATATAGTGCTGTACTTCCTTTGATCCTGACCAAATAAGAATATTATGTACAGTGGTGCCTCGCTTAACGGGCACCCCGTTTAATGACAAAATCGCATAGTGATGAAGATTTTGTGATCGCAAAAGCGATCACATTGCAATGTTTTAAATGGGCAAAAATCGCTTTGCGATGATCGGTACCCTGTTTCGCTTACCGATCACCTCAAAGCGATGATTTTTTAGCAGCTGATCGGCGGTTCCAAAATGGCCGCTGGGTAAAAAAATGGCTGCCCGCTGTTTTCTGGGACGGATTCCTCGCTTACCGGGCAGCGGAAATGGCCGCTGTATGGAGGATTTTCGTTTAAAGGTGAGTCTGAAGCCCATAGGAACACATTGAAGGGTTTTCAATGCATTCCTATGGGCTGTTTTAAATCGCATAGCGACGAAATCGCTTTGCAGCGATTTTTGCTGCACCGATTATCATCGCTATGCGAGGCACCACTGTATTACAGAACTGCAGAATAGCTCAGTGATTTTGATATCTATTTGTGGAGCCAGAAGTTGGGAGTTCAATCTGCCCCGTGCCTCCTTGACAGGAGCTGGACTTGATGATCCAGAGGGGTCCCTTCCAGCTCTGTAGTTTTAAGAGGATAGTGATGATGATATCATCTGTTTTCTGTGTGATGGATGGACTAAGCAAAGCAAGCAATACGTTGTAGACTTCAAAATCATGAGATCGGGAAAATGGTTCTAGTCATCTGTGTTATCATAAGTAATACTTGTGATGACCACAACACCTTTTTATTTCTGAAAAGGCTTTGTTTCAGTCATTGTTTCAATAAATGAAAGCATAGAGTAGGAAAAGCACTAAACTTTATCTGTGAAAGCAAATATAATTCATAGCTTGTGTGCTGTTATTATGAACAGCCGCTGACTGTTTCTTTTTCTGCTCATTTTAAACCCCACGTAAAACAAAGAAAACACAATGAAAGGGCTCCCCCCCTCCCATTAAGGTCAGAGGCACAAACACACTTTTTCTGCTTTCAATGAGGTTTGCCCGTTTGACTGCTCAAAATGTTAATCTTTCTCATTTCAAACCAGGTTGAACATCATTTTTACAAAATTCGATGAGGTTCAGAAATCAGGAACCATGATCCAGGGATCCGGTGGTGAGTTGAAATGCTTTTAGATCAGATGAGATCTCCTCCAGTAGGAAGGAGCTCTATTTTCATTTTCTTATTGATTTGCTAAAAACTGCAGCATGGGAATGTCACAGTTTCCTAATCCAATTATATACTAGTTTAAGTGTTAATCACTAGGTATTTAGTTTAAAAGAGAGAAAAAGTAGGATCATACAGAAAGCTTAATTGAGCCTTTTCTCATGTCACGCTGAAGCATTTTTTTGGTGTGGGAGGAACAGTCTTATTCCATGTGGTTTCTCCCTCCTCCTCCTTTGGCATACGACTGTTAATTATGTGCTTCGTGGTTTGTGACAAGATATGGTTTTCATTACATTTAAAAGTGGTAGCCAACAGTGTGTGTTTACCATTCAATCTGGAATCAACCTGATTGCTGGTGTGTGGACTTTTGCGTAGCTTTAACAGCTCTGTAGCATCAGTTGCTTGAAAACTGTATGCTAAGACCATAGTTAATATTGGAATATTTAGTTGTTTAGCATGGTGTGGAAAAAAAACTGAAGGCAAAAATGATCTGAGGCTTTGCTTTGTTGGTGAAAGTGGTCCAGTGATATGCACTGATACTAGTTTCCTTCTGGTGTCCTGTCTGAGACGCATGGATAGAGGTAGCATGGAAGATTGTCCTGGTACTTTCTTGCATTAAGGTCTAGAGCTAAGACCACTGTGATTGATAAGCTTCAATTCCCAAAGTGTAAATTCTACATTAATTCTCATAAATGGAGAGCATAAGTAAATGATCAGGACTATCCTTCTCTTCCAAACCTAATCCTCCCCCTTTCTTCGATCCATGGAGCCACCTGGGATGCATAGTGCTTCAACCCTGTCCCTCTGTGTAAACTTGGAAACATGTGGTTCAAGCACAGAGACTGAAGCTCAAGGTCTCATTGCTTTGTGATGGTGAGTTGAAAGAGTTTACCAGTCCCTCCACAAATCTGAAAACATTTACATTTTGGCCTTGGGGATTAAGATTAGATAGATTATTTGTTGAACCCAAGGTGTCATGGGAGTTTCATAGCTTATTAGCATCCCCTTTTCCCATTCTATCACAGAACCCTTGATTCATTCATTCTGTGCAGCCAATTGTCTCTTCTGTGTTTCACAGGGTTTTCTAAACTCTGAAGGGGCCTTGCAGCTTGGAGGCAGGGTTGGGCACCTTGTGGTCTTCTAAATGTTGTTGAACTGCAACTCTCATCATCCTTTTGCATTTATCCTAAAACTGGGAGTGGCCATCCAACAACATCTAGAGATCTGTATATATCCTGCATCCGTGGTCTTAAGTATTGCCTGGGATTCATCTCCATCTCCAAAAATTTCCCTCTTTCACCACCTTCCTATTTGTATTCATTCAATACACCAGAACTGGCATATCCTAGTATGCAACTATTCCTTCCTGGTCCGTTTCTCTATCCGTTTGGAGACAGATTTAAGTTCCATTTAGAATCCAGCGGGATGAAGTTGTTACTATCCACTTAGCAATAATGTAAAGTATTTCTGAGCATTGTAGTGATATTGTAAGATAGGATGGTCCCATCCTCTAAACTGTTCCTTGAGGTTCAACGTAAGTAGGAAGAGAGGAAAAGGTTAACAATTTATGCTCCATTCAATTTAATGGATGCAAGTAAGCTGAGTTACTATTTTTTTAAATAGGGTTTAGTTGCTATTTTTGTATCCTTTTTTTTATTGTTTTGCCTTTTTAAAAGGTTGCAAATTACCTTGAGACTTGCTATTAACAGACAGAGTGGGTCCATGAGAATTATAGCTACATTGTATGTAGTACTGATGTTTGATACCAGCAAGTTAGTAACAGCTGGTGTGTTACCAGTCATAGTAAAATGATAGTGATACGCATTGACAGAGTTTTGGTAGTGTTCAGTCAACATAGATAGTAACCAAAATGGATGAATATAACAGGGAGACTTTTCAGCAGAGTTGTCCAGCCTGACACTATTCAAGTGTGTCAGACTGCAGTTCTCATTGATCATGTTGGCTTGAGATCGTGCAGATTTTTAGTCCAGCACATCTGTAGAATATTTGTTTGGGGAAGGCTGTTCTAAATAGTGGTGGTAAGAGAATTCCTTAAAGAGCTAGGTAAAGAATTGGCACCATAATATTATTCTAAACTCTTCATATCACTGCAGTTTAGGCTGAACCTTTCTAATCTGTTGAGATACAGAGAAAAGAGCTTTGCAAATTGAACTTCACCTATTAAACCTCTGACTGTTCTGATTGTCAGCAAGTAGCAAATAAGGTTGCATTTGTTAGTTTAATTGTGTGATGACTGTGAGTCTGTTCCAGAGCACAGCTGGTGTGATGTATGAGATGATTTTGTCTTCTCCGTTCCTGGAAGTCAGTGATTCAGTTATTAGGGGAGATGATGTCAAGGTTGCGTTTTTACTTGTAGAGTTCTTTGCTGCATTCCTGTTGGAAGAGTGGGCTGATCAAGTTGATCTACCCTGAGGACATTCGGATCTACAGTGGGATTTATTTGATGATATTGGGCTTGGCTACATGATTTGGCTGGAGTAGACTGGTCCCAGCTGAATAGGGTCTCTTAATGTTGTGTGGTGATTTTATATGCCATGCAATGAGGGCTTTGCATCCACATGGTGTAGTGGCCCTGTTTGGTCTGCTGTACTTTTTAGAGAAAATTAAAAAAATTTAAGGCTTCCTCCTGAAAATGGGAGGAGACAGGAGGAGGCAAGGTGAAGGATTTTATGTTCTTGTCTTTACAGCCTGAGAAACCAACTTGCTAAGCAAGGAACAGAAAAGTTGTAAAGAAAAGGAAAAAACAGTCTCCCACCTTGCCTCCTCCTGTCTCTTTCTGCTTCTGAGAGGAAGCCTTCACTTTTTAAAATTTTCTCTAAAAGGTTCAGAGCATCACTGCTACCTTAATTAGCTTTTATTTAATTTTTTGTTTCCTCTTCCTGCTCCAGGAGAAGAGAAAGGAAGTTTTTAATTTTCCAATTTCCCCATATCTTTAAGTGGGAACTGCCTGTTTAAACCTCTGATGATATATGGAAATTGAAAGTGACTGACAAATCAAAACAAGAAGTTTCAATTTGCTGGCTGGCTTTGGTTCATTTCCAGCAATAGCACATGGTAGAAATTAACTGAAATGGAACAATCCTCCCTGCATCAAAAAAGTAGAAGCTCCTGACAGGGGTCATAAAGATGTGGGTAGGACTGCTCTGTGGTTGGGCTGGTTCGTTACAGCAAATTTTTCATCTCATTACCAGCTTTAGGAGCAAACCAGTCCGTCCCCTGTCAGTGGTCCAAACAGTGGGCTAAATGCCTGTGTAGTCAACCCTATGGACTATCACCTTGTTAAGGAAATAGACAGACTTGAGAAATATTAACTTTTCTTTGGCTATTAAGGCAGGAGAACATGGATGCTATTTTCACTTTTTTTTTTAAAAAATTTTTTTTTACATTTCCAAAACAAATACAGGAATACAAAATACTAATACAATCTAAAACACAGTGCACCCCCATACCCACAGGACCCTTTGGAGCAATACTTTTATTACGATCCTTGTTTCCATAATTGTATTGAAAGCTTAGAGACTTTCCCCTTTCCTTTCACTAATACAGATTCAATAAATCTACTCCAAATAGCATAAAAATATTTGAACTTATTTCCCCTCTTTTCATCTTAAGTTCAATAGTCAATTTACCATTTAATGCGATGCCCCATACTTCATTATACCAATCTTCTAATTTAATATCATTTTTATCTTTCCAGAATCTAGCTATTAATATTCTAGCACTTGTCATAAAATTAGAAATCAATTCCTTTGAGCAGTAATCAAGTTCTATCTTATCAAAAATTGACAGTAAAGCAATTTTAGAATTAAGTTCGATATCTTTTCCAAATATATCACATATTTCCTTAAAATCAATTTTTAATGATTAAAAAATCCATTAATTAATCCCTACCAATACTTTCAATCTTCTTCTAATTGTATTGGGAGCATCCTGAATAAAAAAGTAAGTTTTGGTAATATTTTCATTTTGATCACAGCGATTCTCTCAAACCACAATAGTTTCAATTTAAAATACTCCTGTAATTTATCTTTAATATCATTTTTTAATTTGTTGAAATTTTGCTCCTTTAATTTCTGAGTCACTTTAACTATTATTATACCTAAATATTTAATATAATTACACATTTTAAAACCATACTTATTTACAAAAGTTTCTTGCTCATATTTATTGTAATTAAACATCATTACAGTATTTGTGTTATTTTGCCAGTTAATAGTTAATCCTGTTATTTCCCCAAATTTTTCTAAGTGATTTTTAATTTTATCCATACTTTCTAATGGGGTTTTAATAGTTAATAATGAATCATCAGCAAATAAATTAATCTTACTTTTATCATTTTTAGCTAATCCTTTAATTAATTCATCATTTCTTATTGCATTAGCTAACAGTTCTATGATCATACAAAACAATATTGGTGAAAGTGGACAGCCTTGTCTTGTACCTCGGCCTAGAAAAATCTGCTCTGTTAAACCATCATTAACTATTGCTTCTGAAGTATTATCTGAATATAATTGATCTATAACCCCAATAAATCTTCTACCAAATCCCCAACCCTTTAATAAACAGCCATTCCACACAAAGGCCTTAAATATGTCTAGTGATAAAACAGTTGCCTTTGTTTTTTCCTTTTCTACCTCATATATAATGTTTAAAACTTGCCTAGTTAAATTATCCATTTTGTATTCCTTTTATAAAGCCACATTGATCCTCGTTAATATAATTTGCTATAAATCCATTTTATCTATTTGCTAATATAGCAGTAAAAATCTTAGCATCTTGATTTATTAGAGATATAGGTCTATAAGATCCTGGATCTGTTAGATCCTTGTTGGGTTTTGGAATAAGAATCGTTAGTAAGTGTTTCCAAGAAGGTGGCATTGTCTCTCCTTCCAATATTTTATTATAAAATATTTTAGCTTAGGTATCAA